CTCATGTTCTCGGTGAGATTAATGATTAGGACAATTACAAAAGTTATTCAAGTGTTGGCCTTTCTTAGGAACCATTATTTAAAAAAATATTGGCTTTCAGTTCTGGAACATCACATGGTGGCAGGGAGTAACTATCCTGTCAGTGCTTGCCAATTCTATGAAGGGCAGACTAAAAAAAAGGAAGCCCAGTTTTGATCTCAGTGTAAATGAGTAGTCAGTAGTGTAGAATTGCCTATTAAGCATACTGTACTCAATGGAGCTGTTGTTACAGGATTACTATATAAACGAGGCAGATGAGAGAAAAAGTCGCCATATATTGTATATTTCTTCTTTATCAACAGCACAGAACTGGAGATCATTGCAATTTATAAAATTAAAAGTGTACTTAAATTGTTTTGCAGTTTTTGTTTTGAACACACAGGAAACTAAGCAGTATTAATTCTTGCTTGGATTGTTTCCAACCCTATTTCTGAAATTTATAACCAATTGTAAACTTGCTTTTTTAAGCTTTACCACCTTCCTCCTTCAACCCTTCTTATAATGGATTGCAGTCTTCATAAATCAATTCAAAATATGTTTCTGTTTTTTAGTTCTATAAGTCTGGTTGCTTTTCTGGTACACATGTAAGCAAAGTTCTGTGAAGTCAGCTTGTACATTTTAACATACTGTAGTGATCCTGTAGTATGATAATCATATATTAGTCAAACCCCCATTAGCTAATTTGATTATTCTGTAAAACAGATTTATTCATTCATTTACTTGGATTTGTACAGTATACTGTGGATTGTTGAAGTCTAAGCAGTTTACAGAATGAGATAAGATCAAGTTAAAACATAGTTTAACTTGATTTTATCTCTATAAAAACTGCTGAAAGACTCTTTGAAGAATTGTGTATCTATAGATTATTTTCTATTGGCAGAAATAATAAATTCAAGTCCATGTATAGCAACCATTCTGCAAAGTGCTTCATTGGAATTTATGAACTCCATTTACAAGTTCTATGGTACAAAATCCTTTGCGTAAATTAAATTTAAGGTAGTTTTCTTTCCTGGTGTCATTCAGATAAGCAGTTAACTTCATTAGGGAATCATTGCAGTATACTGCACTGTACATTGTGTACAGTGCAGTAAAATATCAGCTGGTAACAATATTGGGTGCTTCAAGCTGGCAATCACTTAATCTAATTCACAGAATTTTACTTGAGAAGATTTCCAGATATGTTGTATTCTAGTTATAAATCCATTTTATAATGCTTTTCCAGTGATTTTTTTAAGAACATGAGTCAACAAGGATGTGTCTTCTACTAAGTCACACTACTCCTGATTCAATATTATTGACATTATCAATGATTGACTGTCAATATTTGGGGTTCAATCTGAGTTATTCTGCTTCAAAGGTTTTGTTCTGCCACTCAGGTCTATTCTCCCTGAGATACTGGGAGGAAGAAGGTTCACAGTAAATATATTTTCTCTAGCAATAACAATTGTCATTTTATGAAAATACAGTTCTTAAAATACAAATTAAAAAACTTATTTAGAAAATTAATTTTGTCATTTTTATGTATTTATATTAATTTTGTCATTTTTATGTATTTATATTAAAGAACCAAGATTCCAAAAAGAATTAATTTCTTGGAAGATCTGAAGAAGAAACTGGCAATGAGATTTTTAATTATTTTATCACATACTGTACCTCTCTTCTCTTTGTTTGATAGAGCCATTGTGATCTGGTTGGATGTCATACTTAATAAGCCAAATGTGTTAGGGTTTAATTGCTTTTACTGTTAATGGAGCAGCTTAATAAGACAGAGAGCCTCCATCATTTGGGAGTAGTGCTAATAAACCAGCAGTCTTGTTCCCATTTTAAATTTAAAAGAGAAACAAAACAATGTCCAACAACAGTTTTCAAAATGAAAAAATAGCAATAGCATTTATACTTCACAGCTTTACAGCCCTCTCTAAGCGATTTATAGAGTCAGCATATTGCCCCCAACAATGTGGATTATTAATTTGGAAGAATGATCAATTTGTATCTAACCCTACAGCAGTGATTAGTGACAAATTCCATTGCCAAATACACAAAAATATTCTGCTAAGCCTATCCTTGTTATTACAGAGGCAGGAAATTTATCTTTAAAGGATAGTATGCAAATATATATTGAGTACAGGTCAGTTGATTTTTTGTTTTGCTTTTTTAGAAAATCTTTTTTCCTAGTAGCTTGTAGAGAAGAGTTGAAGTAATTAGTCCCTGTTCCACCTGTGCCAGTTACTCATTCAGCTGCATAGAGTTCCTCATCATTTGTTGACAATAGCTAAAATTCATATATTTATGTCTGACTTATTAAAAGGATGCCCATGGTAGCTAACAGTAAAGTCAAATAAATAAACAAGTTACAATAAACATCTTAAAATTCATTAACTATATTAGAAACAAATAACAGTGCCTGCCAAGATTAAAACCTAATTCCATTTCATGTTTTTGTGTCTGCATAAATCAGCTATTCTGGGATTATTTTAGATTACATGTGCCTCAGCTTTAGGCACCAGCTTTTTGCTTAGTACAGTACTTGCTGTGTATGTCTGAAAGAGAAATATTGTGGAACTGAAGTAATAATGTATTTGGGTCTAAAAGCAAATTACAACTCAAGGAAGAAATCCACTGATACTGTATATAATGATCCATTTCAAAGGTCTGCCTTTTTGTCAACTTTAGCCGTTGAAATGTCCAAATCTGAGGGGTAAAATATATCATGGAAAATATTTTGAGAAGATTGGTAGTTCCTTCCATGTCATCTAGTCAACTAAAAGTGACTCAATCTTGCAGGACCTAGGAAGTGTTCTTCCTCTGCCAGTGTCTGGAACAACATCTGCCCAGAGATAGGAACAGTGTCCGAATTCCTGGAGTTCCAGAAAGTCCTTAAGACCCAGCTCTGTTTCTATGCCTGAGATTCATTTGTTATTTTTTTTATTGTTGTGGTTGTTTTTAGCCCAGGCTATCAGGTTTTAACTCTTTTAATTGTATATTTGGATGTAGTAAGCCACCAAAGGATGCAGTGGCTCAATGGCTAAGACGCTGAAAGGTTGGCAGATCGGTGGTTCAAATACCTAACACCGCGTAACGGACTGAGCTTCCGTTACTTGTCCCAGCTTCTGCCAACCTAGCAGTTCGGAAGCATGTAAAAATGCAAGTAGAAAAATAGGGACCACTTTGATGTAACAATGTTCCGTGCACCTTTGGGTTTAGTCATGCTGACCACATGATCTCATCTTCAGATAGCGCTGGCTTTTTGGCTTTGTAATGGAGATGAGCAGCGTCCCCGAAAGCCGGAAACGACCAGCACTATGTGTGAGGGGAACCTTTATCTTTAGCTTAGGTCACCCAGAGTTATTTAGAATAGGTGGCCATTGTAAAATTGAATAATAATAATGACATATAATGAGTGGAGCTTTCTTTTAGGTACTCATGTTTTTAAAGTAACTGTACCTTTGTTCAGTGACATTAATATGCATATGAGTAATATTCATGTTTCTATGTTATGAAAACTTTTTGTTATGTGTGTTTCCCACTGTGGTTAATGGCACAAGGCTGTTTTGTTTTGTTTTGCTTTCCCTTCTGGGAATGACTACATTTCCTTTCTTTTGTTTTGTTTCAGTTAAGCAGTAAAGTACTTTTAGAGTAAATAACCAAAGACTTACTTAATCTTCTCCCTTAGATGGTGGCTTGTATTAAAACAGTTAAAGCTAGTTCTTTCCATTTTTGCTTGGTTGTTTTATGTACCTGACATCCTATTACAGGAGGAAAGACACATTAAAAATTAGAATCTGGTAGCACCTTTCCAAGTAACAAATTTTCTTATAAGGCAGCTCACTGCATCAGATGCAGAGGTGCTGGACTTACGTAGGAATTAAATTGGGAAGAAGGGAAAATAGGTTGGCTTTGGAAACGAGGGTCACACATAGATCTTCACAATTAACAACTGTGATGTGTTTAAAAAAAACCTATTGTTTGTTGAGATTTGAGATTGCCCGAAACATTTAGATGTATGTGAGTACAACAGTTTCTTGCTGAATAGCTTTCTGATTTTTTCAAAACAGTGGCCTTGAGGTCTGCTATGGAAGTATTGACAAAAATTGAAATACTCTGATATGACTTTGTCCTTGTTTTTTAGTGCTGATGTCAAACATGTCTGTTAATTCTTTTGTGAAAAGTTTGTCCTGTTTCTTCCGTGTAGAATCTCCAGTTGATAATGACATATTTCACAGTGGAGGATGATTGGTTTATGCTTAAAATCTCTATAAAATTCTAAATTCATATACAGGCAAAAGAAATAGAAATCTGTAATTTCCAACCAGTGGAATGTTCAATATTTTGACCACAGCCTGATCCTTTATTCCATAAATAGAAATTTCTGTTTCTCTGGTTACATAGTCAGCAAGTCATTATTATTTGTTCCAATGTTGCAATTCAAGCATAGTTTAATTCTGCTTGCTTGTTTTTTTCATTAGAAAAGAGCCTTGGTTAAAATGCATTAATGAGTTTAAAGCAGAACTAGTCCGGATAGAAGGCTTATGCTAATGGGGATTATTTTAGAAGATACATATAAAGAGGGACACAAGTGAAATGGGTTGATAGCCTTAGTGGAAGACATGGAATTTTTTTAATGACATGGATCATTTCTAAGACACTTTTGTGCATTGAAACACACCTTGTGGCAGAGATAAATTACACTGTATAAAATTGAGACTTTTATTATTAAAAAATAAATAAATGCCAGGTCAGAGCAGTTGCTTTTTTTCTGATATGTGGAATTAGTTAAAACCGGTTACCTCAAGGATTTAATAATAAATGATTAATTTATTTTTATTTAAATAAAATAGAAATTTAATAATAGTTCTGAAGCAGCCATTTCGGAAAATGTTTGTTGCAATGCTTTTTTGCTATCTTTATCATGACTTTTCTTTTCTTCCTGTGTCTCCCCCCCCCCCTCCCCCCATGTACAGATTTGAATATAAGTTGTAGATATGCAGGTGTTTTCCATGTAGAGAAGAATCAACGCTACAGTCTTACGAGAGAAGAGGCTGTTCAGCTTTGCGAAGCACTTAATAGTACCATCCCAACATTTGAACAAATGCAAAAAGCCTTTACCCTCGGTTTTGAAACTTGCAGGTAGGATACCTTTCCAAATATACAATAGACACGGATGTGCTGTCAAAGAATAGATACAGATATTTTTTCCACCTGTTGTTTCCCTTACTTACCCTTTGCAGCTTGTTCAGTTTTTCTCCCAAAATGTGCAATATATTTATTTTCTCTAATTTTCCTTGGCGCTTTCTCTTCTTGAATTGAGTTTAACAATTAACTGTTATAACACACATATAGTTCTTCAGGCCAGCTTACTTTTTGAAAATGTTCACAATCAGGATCTAACTTTTAAAGTTAAACATAGCCTGAAGTATCTAGTTTTAACTATGGACCTGCAGTTTCTCTTGGAAGATTTACATATGGAAAATTTAGCAGTCAGATGGTTCTGCGTAATTATTATACTCTTTTTAACAACTGATTTTGGACCTTTTGTTGTTTTTTTTGTCTCTTCCTTGTGCTGGTCTTTTTTGTAGTTTCAACTTTGTCTATCTAGTTTTTCTTTTGTACAAAAATAAAATGATGAGACTCCTCAAGATCTTTCTCTCCTTCAACCCTGTCACTAATTTGAGGTATTCACAAACTTCAAACTAAAGAGCAGCAGGTTTAAAGCACATGTTTGAAGTCATTACTAAAATAATTATTAGTGCAAGCCTGCAAAATAGATTGATATAATTATCTTGGCTGAATTGTGGAGGCTAAGAGAATAGTGGCTTCTCTTAAGGCCACCCAGGTCAAGGTTTGAGCCTGAAACTTCCCAGCTTCTACGGCTAAGTACAATATTAGTCATTGTGCTGTAATAGCTTTCATCATCAGCCTTGCAAATATTTCTGTATCTTCCTGCCCACCTGGATAGATATCTATGCCAGAGGGCAGGTTGAACACTGGTCTAGCAATATCAACACTGTAAAGATTACTGCGCGTTAGTAACATTTGGCAATTGCTGGAGTAAAATTATAGCATAAGGTATGCCTAAATCCATTGGTGTATTCTAATCATTCATCTCTCTAACGATGATAGAGAAATGATATAATGTAGAAAATATTCTTACCCCATGTTCTGATGGAAAGTTGCCAAGCAATTGCTTCTGAATTTTTAAACTATAATTTCATGCGTTGTTCAGACTTGTATGAGAGTACTTTCAAAGTAGTAATAATAAATACAAATCTAGTGGTGTGTAAGGTAATTACCCTTATTAGCATAAAAAGTAGTTTGATTAGCAAGTTGCTGTTAATGCAGTTATTCAAAAATACTTAACTCCACTGAAAAAAAATAAAACCAATATGTCCGTTATTATCAGTATGTCAGAAAACATTTGACCTTTGGCCTGACTTATATCAATCATTGTTCCATTTTCAAAAGGAATCAAAATAATATGCAAAAACCAATATTTTTAAATGCATGCTCAGCATTCAGTCTTGGGTAATGATTCACTGTTTTCCAACTCAAAATATACATTTATATATTGAATAGAGAAGCTCCCTCCTACATATAATTTGTTTTCTTTTGAGCTATGAAAATACTGTAAGGTTAAATGAATGCAGGAGTATAATGAAAGTAGGAAATTAGCATTTCAGCAACAAAGCTTTTCAGAAAACTTTCATACATGGTACATGTCATGTGAAGATTTGATATAATTTGATATAATGAACCAATGTAACGTAGGTGTTTCTGTTGGGATGTAATAAACTACTATACATTTCTCTGATTTTTTTTTAAACAAAGCTTTAAAAAGTTGCCAGTATATGCTGGATTTGCATAAAGTCCTAGGTTTGGTCAATATGTGTGCAAAGTTTTTAACCTCCCAACCCTGAACACATCAGATTGAAAAAGAATACCCTATCCATAAGTCAAGACAAAAGTTGAGCAGCCTGTTCCTTCCCTAACTTGATGGGGCTTCTACCTGTACAGTTAATCCTTGACTTACGACCACAATTGAGCCCCAAATGTTTGTTGTTTAGTGAAACATTGGTTAAGTGAGTTTTGCTCCATTTTACGACCTAAGAGCTATGGTGGTGCAGTGGTTAGAATGCAGTACTGTAGGCTAACTCACTGCTCACTCCAGGAGTTCAATTCTGATGGGCTCAAGGTTGACTCAGCTTCCATCCTTCTGAGGTCGGTAAAATGAGGATCCAGATTTTGGGGGGCAATATACTGACCCTGTAAAGTGCTTGGGGAGGGCTGTAAAGCACTGTGAAGCTGTATATAAGTCTAAGTGCTATTGCTTTCTTGCCATTGTTGTTAAGTGAATCACAGTTGATAAGTTAGTAATCTGGCTTCCCCTTTGACTTTGCTTGTCAAAAGATTGCAAAAGGTGATCATACTTACAAGCATCTGAATTTTGATCCCATAATCTTGGGGATGATACAAGAGTTGTAACTGTGAAAAATTGTCATAAATCACTTTTTTCAGTACTGTTGTAAGATATGTATGTGTTTGTGTGTTTAGCCAAATGTATAAGAATATCTTCATGTGAGCACTCATTAACTTTTTCCCCACTACCAGCATACAAACATGTTGGTTTATTCATCAATAGGCACTGTATTTCCAAGTTTAATTGAAATCTGTTTTCATTATAAATGCCCTTTATCTTTTGGAATCAGATTAGTTTACCTGTATCAACCTGCCCATATTAAAAGAATGCTTTTGCATGCACTGCTCACTTGGTTGTTATTTAGCTCCACTGGGCATGAAAAAAACATCCCTTTCAATTATGCCTCCTTGCTTAATTCTGTAACAAAAACAGAAAGAGTAGTGGTCTGTAGATCATCATAACACTTTGAAATTAGAAAACAATACATTGTGATTTTACATGTGTCCAGAATTCATTGAGACTTACCCCCATGTAAATGTTGCTAGGATTATAGCCTTTGTCATATTTAAAGTACATAAATGGAAAAGAAGATGAATATAAAAACTGTGAATAAAATCCACTATTAGTATGGAAATTTTAATATGAGGTTGGAAAGATGACTATAAGGTATTACTTAATTATACATGTATTTAACTGCATGTAAGATTAATATTTCTGCTTGACTTATGAGATTCCATAGATGCTTATATTCAATAGAGAATAACAAGAAGGATATTACATCTTTTACTTGCCTTCCATGGATACATTGTTCTTGCGTATCAGCATTTTTATCACAAAATCACAATGTTTAGAGAGGCGTGAGTTTTTTCTCACTCAGCAGATAAACTAGAATCTGGTTCTTTCTCCTCTAGCATCAGGGAAGACGGGTTCTGGATTCATGGAATCCTACAGCTGAAAGACATAAAGCTTCCTAAAGCTGCCTAATAATATCTCTTTGTATAAGAAGAGATTGTGTATTGTTTAATAGCGGAAGAGTGTACTTATCCTTTGCTGAATGCGTGAACAGAATGTTTTTCTTCACATAATGAATATAAATAGTTGTCCAATTCCACTGAGACTTTTTGCTGAACAAAATGTTCATGCATGTATACTAGATGCATTTATTTATTATTTATTAAACATGTAATTTAAATTATGATTATGATTATTATCCTTGCAGAAATAATCAGGGAAAAGTCTCAAGGCAACCTTGGATGCCTTCAATAAGGGTAACTGTTTTGGTGCTTTGAGGATGGCTGCTTCATTTTTGCAGATTTTCTCAGTACTAATTTGGACTTCTATGCTTAAATTTAAGGAAAATCAGTGGAGTAAATTGTTGTGAAAGACTTGCCCCAATCTTGTTGATCTTTCAGATTACTTAAAGTAGAATACTTTAGGACATCTTTTAAACTAGTTAGATCACAGTATGGGAATGATAATATGCTCTCCATTTCTTTAAGTTTTGTTTTTCTTATTCTTATTGTTGTATTCTGTTCTGTATTAATTTTATATAACATTCAATAGAATTCCCTGCATTTTACATTTTCTGTATCACTGAGAGTTATACTTTGTCATAATTTATGTTGCCACATTTCTGTAGTACTTTAAGCCATATAGTTGTGGCAGTATAAAAATAAAATGAATGAATGAATATGGAACAAATACATTAGCAAATGAACTACCAATTACCAATAGAACTTACCAATTGTTGGCTATATAATTCCTTACATTAACTTAATGGTGTTTTTCCTTTTTTTTCTAGATATGGTTATATAGAAGACAAAATCGTACTTCCCCGGCATACTCCTTATTATCTCTGTGCAGCAAACAACACAGGAATTTATGTACTTTCCTCAAATATTTCTGACCGATACGATACATATTGCTTCAATTCATCAGGTGTGTTTTGGGTTGGTCACATATTTTCTACCGCTGGGAAAATTTTCTGTTTGACACAGAAGCACAATAGAATAAGGATAGGACAGAACAATGGGTATGAAAAAACCATTTGCTCCTGGTCAGCATACCTCATGATCCATGAAATTTAACAAATTCAACAAAATGTACATTGTGATCTGATAGCTGTTTCACAGCACACTTAGTATTATGGTCTTCAGCAAGCAAAAGCAAGAGTTAAAATAGAATATGGTATTGAAGTCTGCAGAACTGTTGACTCTGAAGCTGGCTTGTTTTCACATATGCTGTTTCAGTCGTGTTGCAGACTTTTGATAGCAGAAGTTTGCAGAGGAGAAAGACTATGGAGATGTAAGTAACAGGTGTAATACAGATTCATCTCCCATATGTTGCTTTTGTTGCAAAACATGAACTTTATTTGGTGTTTATATGGAGTTAGGGAAGGTCTTGATTAATGATTCTGTCATTGTTGTCTCTAAAAGTAAAAGTCCAATGTATCACACACACACACACACACACACACACACACACACACCCATCCATATCCATATATAAAGAAAGAAAACACACCAGTGGTGGTATTCAGCCAGTTCACACTGGATTGGGTGGATAGGTAGCAAGAATTTGGCGTTGGTCGCTGAACCGTTAGTAAGTTCTGGCTGGCCACGCCCCCGATATGGTTCCCCCTCCTGCTCGATGCTTGCTTACCTGCCAGCCTGACATTCGTCTTAAGGTATTTCTTTTTTTTCCCCTCCTGACAATCAGCTGTGCCGGGATTCCTCTTGCTGAAGCCCAGGAAGGCAAAAAATGGAGGGAGGAGCACAGCCCCCCCCCTCCATTTTTTCCTTCCTGAGCCTCAGAGGATCCTTAGGGGAGCAACCCCCCCCCCCGCCTCCTCTGAGGCTAGGAAGCTTCCAAAACAGAGCTTGGAGGGGTGCTGTGCACCCCTCCCATGCTCTGTTTTTTTTTCCTTCCTGAGCCTTAGAAGAGCTTTAGGGAATTAACACCCCCCCCCTCCCGAGGCTCCTCTGAGGCTAAGAAGCTCCCAAAAATGGGTGGGGGAGGCAAAAAAGCAAAAAAAAAAAAGCCACACCCATCCAGTCACATGGCCACATCCACCAAGTCACGCCCACAGAACCAGTAGTAAAAAAATTTGAATCCCACAACTGGAACACATAGTGTTTCCCACATGTTTGTAGTCCTGGAGACCTTCACCACCTTATGTTTCGTTTTACAAAAGTTAGCCAGTTTAATGTTGATTTTTTTTTTGTTTCCCATTTTTTCTCCCATTCTTAGAATCAAGAGATGTTGCTTGCGAGCCAGTGAAAAAGTTATATTCTGCTTTGCCTAATAATAACAGCAGTATTGGTAAGGATTGAATTTAATTTTTTTTTAACATATAAAGCCTTCCCCTGGTGAAGCCGAATGAACATTGGGGAATGGTCACTAAACTTGGAATGAGACTTAGCTGGCTTCAAGTGATAACATAGTCTATTTAGACTAATTTATAATCAGGAAACAGTTGCAAAATTAAAAAAAATACAAGATACATTTTTCTCTGGGAGTCTTTTGTGAGAATTTAACAAAGCTAGTGATGTTGCAGATATTCTGCATAGAGTAAATTCAGCAAGTGATGCTCAAAAGGTATTGAATAGACTTCTTTTCTAATCCAACAACTTTGCAAGTCTCACAAAAGTCAAACGTTCCAGAGACCTCAATATATAGTGCTTTGTAGAATGTTGTTTTGTGTTATTTTATTGGTATACTTTTTCTGGTAGGGAATATCATTTTGTGTGACATACACAAAATATATTACGTTCCACTTTTCATAAAAAAGAAGTAGTTCTTGTAAATATGCATGCGAAGTGCATAGTCATTATTGTATGACAGAGATAATGGTTTATTAAGGAATTATTTCATAATAGTAGCCAAAATAATTTACCCTGTTGTAGGGGAGGGATCCTTCTTAATTAGCAGAATCTTATAAAACTTTCCCAAATGTATTGAAAATTGGATTGATCTTTTATTCTCATGTTGACACATTTCTAGATTGATTTCTGAAGCCTCCATCCCAAAGTTTAGGAAGCAGAATTGTGATCCCTGAAATACTATTCACTCTTAATCAAAATTATGGCTCATTGAAGCAAGCTAGGACCAAATTTTATATTTTTGAAGTACCTTATATAAATGAACAATTGTGTAGATTTAGTCAGTATGTCACATGTAATTACCCCAGAAAAAGGCACATTCTGATTTTGATCATATCAAAGGAGGAGAGAGGAACTTAAAAGTTGAAGCCTTCTACCACTTAGGTCCATATTATTCAGTCAGAATCTAAACTGAGCAAACATTTGCATATCGTTTATGTTGGAGTAAGGATTTTAATAAGTTTTCACATTGTACTATGTAACCATTTCCTGCACCATTTGTCTAGCTTCAGTCAACAGGGTACTATTTAATACTGTATATCCTTTTTCATTCAGAAATTTTCAATGCTGATGGGTCACGGTATTTTGAAGGAAAGAAGGTTACAGAAAGCCCACCAGTTACTGAAGATGACAGCAGTGTGGGCAGTGGTTCTGCAATTGGCAGAGGAACTGCAGATCATAGTGACTTCACACCAGGTATTTGCATTGATCAGTCTTCTATAGAATGACATTTAAATAGTACCTTGGAAAGGTCACAGATATCCATTAGAAATTGTGTAGACCTTCTCAACTTAGGTGATCTCCAGATGAGTGGACTTCAGTTCTCAGAATTGCTCAGCAAGCATCAACATTTCTGAGGCTTCTAGGAGCTGAAGTAAATTAGGGAAACTTTTGCATTGGAGGTAGCCTTCAAACTTACAACAGTTCATTTAGTGACTATTTGAAGTTACAACGGCACTGAAAAAAGGGGCTTATGACCATTTTTCACACTTACGACTGTTGCAGCAACCCCCTGATCACATCATTTATATTTGGACGCTTGATATCTGATTCATATTTATAATGGTTGCAATGTCCTGGGATCATATGATCATTTTTTGCTTATATATATAAGCAAAGTTCATGTCTAAAGGGTATTCCAATGAACAGAAATCACTGAGGAATTAGTTAACAAAAAGAAAAACAAAGTTATTGCTGTATTTTTCAGACTATGAGACGCTCCAAAGAATAAGACACACCTAGCTTTTGGGGAGGGGAAAAAAAAAACCCTCCCTCTGCTTCCAGCAATTTGCCTCCTTGCAGCAAACAGCCTGGTCAGCTTCAGCACAGCCTGATTAGCACAGCAGCTGATTGTCAGCTGGATTGGCCTCCCGACGGTCAGCTGTTTCAAGCTGCAGGGATTGTTGTTGCCTATTGCTGCCTCTGCGTGCCCCATTTTCGGCCTCTGCATCCTGTTCTCGGCCTCCATGCACCCCATTTTCGGCCCGTTCCAGGCGATGGGGATCAGACTGGGCAAAAAATGTGGTGTGTGGAGGCAGAAAATGGGGTACATGGAGGCCGAAAACAGGATGCGGAGGTCGAAAATGGGGCACGCCGAGGCGGCAATAGGCAACAACAATCCCTGCAGCTTGAAACAGCTGACCGTTGGGAGGCCAGTCCAGCTGACAATCAGCTGGTTGTGCTAATCAGGCTGTGCTGAAACTGACCAGGCTATTTGTTGCAAGGAGGCAAATTGCTGGGAGGCAGAGGCTGAAGGGTTGGGGCAGGTGGGTGGGTGGGTCCTCTGCAAAATTTGTTGTATAAGACTCACAGACAGTTTCACCCACTTTGGGAGGGGGTGCGCCTTATACAGCAAAAAATACGGTATTTATTTCCTCCATTTTATCTCCCATGCTACCTAGAAAATATTTTTAATGATATATGTTACAGAAAAAGACATCACTAAAGAGCACACAAAATTGTATCTAATTAATATTGCTTTGCCGATAGTTGATTCTTTTTGCTAGCAGAAGCATTTATCAGTAAAACAAGGATTTTCAACAATTCTTTCTCCTCTTAGCAGTCACCCATGTTTTTTCAAATTTCAGAGACCTTGCCATTAACTAATCCTCAGGATTTTTTTGATAATTTTGCTGTTTGACAACAAAGATTCTTACTGTAATAATGAAAATTAAGCGATTCTTTACAATAAAATCACACATTATTAGTTTATTTCATTGACTGCTAGTTGTAAAAACACAACCATATGACAATTAAGTAATGATGGTTGCCTCATATCTATCTTCCAAAGGAATAAGGGGGAAATATCTCTTTAACTTTCAGTTTTTTGGAAGGTATTGTAGCCTGAAGACACACTTGACTCTAAAATTATGATGTTAAATGATGTTGCCCTCTAGCTGGATCTCTTGAATCTATTTTTACTAATTTAGAGTTCTCCCCACCCAGACTAGTGGCAAATAAAACATGCTACTGTAGGCCTATTTGGAGTTTACAATACAGTGCAGTATATATGATTTTCTCTAGGTATCCCACCTCAAACTAAAACACAATAAAACAGCCAAAAAATATTTTCATTATCCATGTGACTTTTTCTGTGCCATCACTTCACCCAGTATAAAAAGAAACTTCTTCTGAGTATTACCTATTTATTTTTATAGCTGTTATTGTTAGTCCTATAATATATATACACCTAATAAAACGAAGGGCTTAAGGGAAAATGTGGCTCCAGTAGGATTCTTGCTGATCAGTCCTGACTTTCATAAGGATTTCTGAAACTTGGAAGTGCAACATTTATTGTTGGAAAAATAAAATGAGACTTTCTTTCAAGTGTTAGGGAAACTGTATCTACCGTAATTGAATAACACATTAGTAAAAGTACATATAATAATTGTGCCTGGTAGTCCACATAAAGTATACAGTACAAGCTTTTTTTCTAACTAAAATATCATTTACGCTAAGAGAAAATGCCATACAATATTTTGTCCCCGCAAAAATCATGAATTCAAAACACAGTCCTAGGACTTAGGAATGAAAATTGTATTGATGGTTGCTCACTAAGTGAAAAGAGTACAGCTCATCCATATTTTATGATACAGAGGATGATACCACAACATTTACACCAGTATATGAAACAGAAGACCACCATTATCTGCATCCAGGAAATCCTGAAGATCAAAACCCCCAGAATCCTAGTAAGTACAGTAATTGTAGTAGTATTTGTTGTAACTTGGTTTTAACCATGACAATGTATTTCTTCATTCTTTTGACATTGATTATATAGTCTATATATGGAGACTATATGAAAGAATATATATTCATTCATATTCCTCTGGTTTAGAATCATACATTTAAGCTCTTGTATCTTCTAAAGTAAAGAGTATCTTGAATAACAAGAAATAAACATTCTAGCATATGACAGGAACATTTAGGTTTAGTATATCCAGTTTTTATACTGTGTAATTGCCTATATTAATGAGCTCATAGGATTTGATATCTCTGTTGTACAGCCATTAGGCTGTAAATACCATTAGATATTTGCTTCAAAAATGAGGATCATGGATAAGGGCAGATCAGATGATTTTATATGCTCTAGTGATAGGCTCCATCTGTGCCTGGGTTTGCTCTATGAAATATTTCTGAATGCATATATTTATCCAATAGAGTGCCTATAGTCTGTGACTAAAATTAAAATTTCTGGCATTCATTGAGCAATATCCGTCCCGCCAAAAACCTGTTAAATTGTGATGGAATGTGTACCCGGAGAAGCAGTGGAAAGGAGTCTTGGTAGCACAGAGTTTTCCCAGGGAGAAAGCAGTTCCTTTCAGAGAAAAGCTCAAATTGACAGACTGTGGTCCCAGGTTTAGGGGGAGAGGGAAGAGACTTAGGATAGCCACACTGTAGAATCTGTCAGTGTATATTATTATTGTAGAGGGTTAGAGTGTCAGTAGGTAAGATTCTGCCCATTAGGTGTAAACAAATAAAAGATTGGACTCAATTGGATTTGTTGTCTTTGAGGTTGGACCTGATATAAATATGCAGACATATCCTTTGTGTAAGTCTTCTTGGAAGAAGTAATTGGATTTTTTTCTTAGTATTTCTAACAATTATGTTGGAAAGATGTCATTGTGGATCCTTCATCTAAAATGCTCATTAAAACCCCTTATGACTTTTTGCTTTATGACTATGTATACAAAATCAAAGAAAGTATTTATTTGGTTATGATAACATTTCATATTTAGAGGAAGAACTTCAGTTTGAGATTTTGTCATCCAGCTTTGTGATGGTATTTCATCTTGCAGTTGATTTCACCTTGCATTTCTTCATATATTGAGTGTTTTTATATTTTTCTGCCAAGTGCTATTGCTATTCTCGGAAGTGGGGCCAAAGAGAATTTCATATTAATCCAAATAACAGTTTTATATGAATTGTTCTAATCTAATGGATCATTTCTTTCTTATTTATCATTTTACATACATACTAACTATTAACATGACTTTGGTATTGCAACAGTTTCTGTTTTCTCAGCATTGATTTTAGATTTCTTAAAGAAGTTGTGAGTTATACAACAGCCTAACTAATGGAAGATATTCTCAAGGTGATATGAATATAAACTTGTTTTCATTATCTTCATAGAACTGATTGATCAATAATCTCCAATTTCCTAATGATTCCCTCCCCCCAATTCCTGATGTTTAAAAACATAGAAATAGGTTTTATCTATTTAATAGGATTATCTAGTGGAGCTCTACCCATTAGAAAAACTTTTCATAGATTTTTTTTCCTTCCAAGATAATGGTCACTCTGTCCAATATATGTATCTAATTATTCATAAGTGTGCATCTTTTTTCTATTTTGAAACATATTTAGCAGTATATATGTGCAATGGTCTTTTTCTCTATAGAGAAAGATGGTTTAATTTATGCAATAGCATTCATTTTTTTCAGAGATCCTGCAGTTATAATGAAAACTGTTGTTATTACTTTGGATATTTACCTGCAATTGCCAATTTTCAGGATTTGCTTTTGGCAATGCTTACTTTGAATGCAGCTTTTTTTGTTTCAAGAATTTTCAGAAATTAGAAGCATAAACTTATATTTGGTGAAAGTTGGCAAACTCAGAAGCCAATTTTCATCAATTCATGAAAAGGTAAGTTGGAAACAGGTATCAAAGTTCTGGCCAATAAAGCCATTTAAACTAGTGTTTTGTTTTGTTTTTAAATCTGGAACCATTCCTTGAATTCATGGAAAAGCTGATTTCTCAAATATCCAGGGATAAAGCATTTTTATATGCTAAATTATTGCAGCTATATGATTCAAAACCTATAAAAAGATTTTGTCTCTGTGCTTGTCTACGTTGTGTGGTAAATAACATTAAGATAGAATTGACAGAACACTTATTATTTCAAGTTATTCCAAACATTGCTGGTGGTGGTTGTGAACGGGAATGATTTTTGTGTAGTCTTCTGCTCTGTGCCTAGATCAAGGATTAATGTAATCCTATTGATCTGTGTTGGTTGCAATATTATACTCTGGGTTCCTTCCTCTCAGATGATTCATCCTGTCAAAAGCATCTCTCAATAGCTTGTATGTGTTTTTCTGCATTTGGGTGAGTGTATGGGTGATATGATGGAATTTCCCTGGTTTAAGTTTTCTAATTTGCAACTGACTTTTTGTTAGCTATAAATTATAATTGCACTGAATATTCTATTGTGGCACACAGAATGTATATTCATGCAAAATTTATTTGTATCATATAAAGCATTTTACACAAGAAGCTTTGGTTTGGGGAGGGAACTTTGCTTACATTAATACTGCTACATTGATGTTGCTTTTTAGGAAGTGAATATACTTGAACTTTAGCTTTGATATTTCCACATAAATACAATATATGTATATTATATATTGAACAGAGAAAAGTTACAGTTCTAAAACAACTGTATACAATTATGATTGTATGAACTTCAGATTATGTGATTGACTGGCAGATAATGAAAATTGAGTAATAGGCAATCCAGAAAAATGTTTTACAGTTCAATCCCTATACCAAATAAGTTTCATTCCTGGTTTTGTTTGGAAACTCAAAACTGAGAGCTAAGTGTTTCCATTCTTAGACTATGTATAAAAACAAGCTACCACTTGTGTGTGCAATATGTGATGGAATTCCAGCATATATTTCTTAACCATAATCACTTCTACTCTTTACTTCAATGGGTTCTTCCTCTTCTTCTTCATCTGCTTGAGAGCTTCTGTTCTTTGTATTGTTATTCTTTTCTCTTTTATCATTGAAAATGATCTCTTTAGATGTACTTCTTTGTATTCTACAATGGTGGAAATTATAATACTATTCTCTATCTCTGCATTGCCACAAGGAAAGACTAAAACTTGACATTTGAACAAAAATAACTAGAAACGTGATCCTTGAACTAACTTCCTATTTGAAAATCCCATTACAGCAAATTAAGGAGCTTCAGTTCAAGAATGCTGGGTATCCCAATTTATTTCCGAACTAACAATAGAAATACAAATTCTTATCATCCTTTAATATAACCATAATGAAACTAGATTTGTTTGAGAAGCAAAACATCTGGATTTAAAGATAACACAGCTCAACTTTCTACTACTATCAGTAATATTTTTTTTTGCTTGGAGTGCTTCAGGAGTTTTCTGGTATATTCTGGTTGTGACACTACCTTTATTACTTGGATTCCCTTTCCAACCCCCACATCTTTATTTTGTGTTCATAATGTTTTTGTTGTTAGTGTATAATTCATATTGACTTAGGGTACTCCCAAAATAAAATAAATATGAGTATATTATTTGAAAACCAACAACAGAAGAACATGGGAAGTGACCCTTTATCATCCTCTACGAGGAAGTTCTATTGATCGAAGATACAACACATATTCAACACTATAGTTATTCTGCCATCATTACAGCTGAAGAAAATTCAAATCATGGAAAGCATCATGGAAATTCTAGTCAAGATCAGCAAATCACTGAAGATTTTCCATTATGGTGGCCACCTGAAGAACATAAAGGAATGCAGAATACAACCTCCAGTGAGGGTAAACTCTTGTAATATTTTAGTAAATCATAGTCTCTTTGCCTATCCTTTTTTTCAAAATTTCTGGCAAAAAGTTTAGCTTCCCTGGAAAAAAAATGTTGCATATATTTTTCATGAGTGCTGTTTGAATAGTTCTGGTATTGGTGCATTAAAAACATGAACTGTAATAGCCAAGTAACTACTTACGTCATGTAGAAATCTGTCGTTTGGACTTAAGTGAAACTGTTGCTTTAAGAGCACACTACTTTAAGTATGCTTTAAGGGCATGCTATTTTAGGAATTAATCTATGTGCTAACATGTAGAAAAGCTAATGGACCTCTTGTACGTATAATATGGATATAATATGCTTGCTTCAACTAAAATTATAGTGCAGGGCATTGCTTGTTAATAAACAAAGCCAATTACTAAACAGTTAATTGTTTTAGACAAATTGAAATCTTCCTTTCAGTTTACTTTTAAAAATAAAATGTGTCGCATAATTTACATTCAGATAAGACCTGCAAGCATTTTTTTTAATATGTACTGTAAGTCAAAAGCCCACATCCTCATTTTCTATACCAATATTGTTTATCTAAGTGCCTTGTAAATCATTACTATTTCAAAGCAGCCCATTTCTGTAATAGTTAAAATTTAAAGGGGAAAAAAGATTGACAACATGTCAAAGAAAAGTCATATGAGCTGGTTCCTTAATGGATTTAAACTGGACTGTGTAATTGGAGAAGAACAAAATATTTCTAAAATCCCGAATTGTGCCTCTCTCATTTATTTTGTCATAAATTTCCCATAGTCATGCTGAGGTTCCAGTTATACCTCCATAGTCATATATTCCTGAGCTTGATACATAAAGTTATTTTCTTGCCAAATATTTACCGTTTTAATTCTCCATCGAATCCAGAAAGTTACCATTTTGATTTCCTTTTTACTCTATTCAATATGGTTCCTTCAAACCATATTGTTAAATATGGGAAGTGTGATCATGCTCTGCATATGGTCCAGCAGGATAAAACCCTTTTCAGAAAGATTCACTTTGGAAAAATTACCAGGCTATTCCCAGATTAGCTGGATCAGCATTATCTGGAGGAAGAAATGGACATTTTCCTGAACTATTCTATCTTCACAGAAAGAACAGTTTGTACATATTTTCTCCCTGGTATAAAATAGTCTTTAGACACAGTTAAGTTCTGACTTCTTCCCCAGGCCTTTGAATCTGGATGTCCTAATTGTAGAGTTATAGTATATTTTAATCTGGTTGCCATTTTATGATTTTAGTTGACTTTCAGTGTATTGTGAGGAGGTTTTGGTGGTGGTGGTGAATTATACTTATAGTTGATTATTTGTATGCTGCTTGGGTTGATTTTGCTTGAGTTAAGCAGCCATATAAACGTTATAAAGACCTACACACCAGAAAAGAACTAAAATACATATTTTAAAAGTCAACATGGAGGCATTAAGCAAGAGAAAGTTGGCTACAAGTGAGTCTTTTTATACTCTAATATGAATACCTGGTTGCAAAATACATGAAAAGGATGTAATCTTAAAAAATATACATAATATTAATTTTTATAGTAGTACCAGAAGGAGTCTTTGATTGCTAAGACTATTCCAATTTTACTATCTCAGTTTAAAAGTAAAAAAGTTGTTCTGTTCAATTTCATTCAAACTCATTCAGAAAATTCAATTAAATCACCTCTTAGTATTTGGAATAAAATTATATTCCATATTATTGTATTAGTGCATTTAATGTAGTCATGGCTTTTTAATAACTTGTTAGTACATTCTCCTGATTGGATTTTTTGCAGGATTTTTTTTTCCTTTGGCTGTACATAGATTTTACTCCTTTCTCTGTGATTTTGCATAATTTTAGCAAGCCCAGTGAATCTGGGAAATGTGTGTTCTCTGAATGTTGTCTTCAGTCAACTCAGAATGTAATATAATTCCTATTGTGCTCTCATTTCTATATATAAGAATGTTTCCATTCTATTCCATGCTTTCCAAATAAATGTATTCAAGTCCCATTTACATTCTTCAAAACAATTCTCTCCCCCACCCCATTTTATGGGGGGAGATTCTTTTAAGAGTTAGGATTAGAATTAGGTTTGTAATTAGAAACAGTCTCTCAAGTACCTCGTATCTCATTTAAATGTTGCAGTTGCTGAAGTAAAAATGATTCTGTATGTGTTTACTAGAAAAATGTGTTTTGTCTCCCTTAAATTACAATCAGGGCACAATCCAGATTCTATCATTCATTTAAAGTGAACTTTTTTTTTTGCGCACACACACACACACACACACACACACACACACACAGCGCAATGGAACTGAAATTAGATAATCTTATTGACTGTTCCAATCAATGAAGCAAGAACATATTAATGATATAGACAACAGAGAAATGGATAACTGGATGAAATATATAAAAATCTTACCATGAGTTTACATCAATAAATCAATAGATCCTAGTTTTGAAGATGATGATGATGATGGTGGTGGTGATGACGAAGAAGGGTCTGGGCAAAAAAATCCTGAAACAGTTCTTGAGTGGGACAACAGTGGTGATAAGGAACTTCAGACATCAAATACCAGTAAGAACTAATCCCTATCGTGCTTTGTATTATAGAAAATAATTAAGATATTTTAGATGTAGACTTAGATCTTCAGCAGTATAGTATTTGTATTGATCTACAAAAGATTATTTTATCTGAGATAGATAATAGTAAATAATAGCAGAATTTCAGTTGAAACCAGCAGATTTTTTTGCGCTGTATTTCTCTGCATGGTCTGTTTTGCATAACTGGCTTTTGCATTGGAAAATGTCTATCTTGGCTAATGCTGGAAATGGAAACCCAGCAATGCTGTCAAGGTTTGTGCCTAAAATCTGTGCTTATTTTGAATGGGAAGGGGCCAAATTCTGAGCTGCCTTATCTGCTTTCCATTGATGTCTGTTTTACGCATTCATTTGGAAAATCCAAAATTAAATGTCACATTGGTAAATATCTATGTTCTTTGGCAGAGTTAGCTTTGGTTTTGGTGGTGGATATTATGATGCTGCAATGTTCTCTACGCATAAATTTGAATAAGTTTCTTTCTTGTTAATAGCCACGTTGGTTAGTTAACAAGTGTGTTCAATTAATACCATTTTTGCTATCCTTTTTCTATTTTAATTTATTTTATTGTACCCATGCTAATGTTGGGGAGCAGCTGGTGTTGGTGAAGGAACTATATGGTTAATGCAGATTAGCATTATATGAAGAATTTTAAAAAATATGATCACATATTGAAAAGGTGTTAGCTTTTATTCTTTTTATTCTACATTTCCCAACATGATTGATTCTGTTCCTAAAGTAGCAAACTATTTGCCAGATGAAAACTTTCCTCTTATGTAGTTCCATGCCAAAAAAAATCTATACCTATATAGATGTTGTGCGCCATGAAGCTATTCAAAGTTCAGAAACTGTTTTTAATGCTAGTGTTACACTTAGATGCTTAGCGTTGTTGATTCAAACCTAATTTCCTTTAATGTAGAACCAGTTTGATGTAGTGGTTAAGGCATCAAACTAGAAACCACCCACAGTGAATGCTTTCAACAAAGGGAGAAGATATTGCTGGTTCTTTTACGTCTGATTATTTCATTTGTCTGTACCAGAAATAGTGCATTTCTGATGAGACAGTCATGCTTGGGGGCTTACGTCTGCAAATTTTTCAAGTGCATGAAAGTACGATCTTTGTGTGATCTGTACTTATAAACCTTTGCCTTGACATATACATTTACATTATTCTCTAAAATAACTTAATCCGAAGTGCTAGTTGATAGTACAATTCCAAATATTCAACCAATTGTCAATTGAACCATTGTCACAACAGCTGTGAACTCCAGCAAAGATATCAAACAAGAAGAATCAGCCCACAATATATTGCTACCTGCTGTACATTCTGGAAAGGAAAGTGAAGTCAGTTACTCAACAAATGACACAAGTGCGGATGTCCTACCTGGAATTGTTGAACAATATTCAACCACTACCGGTATGAGGAATTAAACATGATACTGAACATATTTTTCATTTATGTTGGTTATTCTTTCCACAATATCAAAACTCAGAATGTAGTTAGTAGTTGGAAGTATTGATAATTTTAACTGGAGTGTGCAGGTAATACATTGTGATTACTTTAAATAGGAAATAGACTCAAACATATAGAGCCGTTTTCCAAATGTATTTGCTTTTATCCACCAAAACCATGATATTGAAGATGTAAATATTATGCAGCTTTGGTGAAGCCAGAGTCTCACAAGTAGCACTTTAAAATTATTTCAGGCTCCACAGTTTTGTGAAAGTTACTGAAATGCCAGATTGGTGCATTACTCTGTACAGGATACTACTAACAGATATTTAAAAATTGGCTTCAATCTATTGCTTTTTGAAAGTTGAAATAAAACATGAGATTGCTTTCTAGGTATTCCTTAATTTAAAGAGAACTGCATAAACCAGTGCTTTCCAAACCTGGGTAAATTATTCAGAAATGTGTAAAAGTAGACTTTATTTGGGTTAACAACCCACAACCCCATTTCCCAATCACAATAGGGAAATTTCAGTTGACTTAGAGTGTTTTACCTACATTGGGTAAAAAGGACTTTTGCTAAGTGGTTTTGTATAATAAAGGAAAATGTTTTGGAAGCAGTGGCTTAAAGCATTTTACAAACAAATATTTGGGTAATAACAATTGCTTTTTATCTAAAAGCATTCTTTTGCCAACATTAGAACAAGAGAAATAGATTGTATATGTATGTTGATAGACAAAGTTGATTGTAAAGTTGCAGCTTTATTTCTTACGAAAAGTATTGACATCTTCTCTTGAAGATGGGAAGATCTCTCTTACTGCACTGGGCTTTTTGTGGGCTTTCTTTCTTGAGTTATCAATTCCAATTTTTCCCACTATCTAAAGCTTTTTCTCTTACGTTTGGTGATCATAATGCGTGACACATTATGTTTTCTGCTAAATTATTTAATAAGTTGACAATGAAGGATAAATCTGGTATTTTCGCTTCAATATTTCATAGTGTTTCTACTTCAATTTCCTTGGATTTATACAGCAGCACCTTTAGAACTGAATAAGTTTAATTGTCTGAACTTCATCCTGGCAATGAATGCCATCCAAAATAAGTCTTTGGGTTGACAATATAAATCTGGACTATCTGAAGTGAGTGTCCAAAATATTTCAAGAAAGAAAATGTCCAAATAAAAGAAGAAAAGGAAGAAAAAGGAGAATGTTCTTGGACTAAGATGCTACTGTGAATCCAGATGGTACAAAGCCTTTTGCATCTATCAGACGCATTTGATAGATCAGATAAGGGTGCAAGCTGCTCTCACATCTTTTCTGCCTCTACTGCTGTTATATTCCTTCTACTATTGTTCCTGGTGTCTGGGGCATCTCTGGAAAATCAACCATTTCTGAAAATTGTGGTGATGATTTTGGGGCCTGTGAATTCAACAATACTTTCCAAAATTTTACCTACTTTCCTCTTCCTCTGCCTAACACACGTAATGAAAGTGCAAGCCATATATATATTTTAACAAGATAATCTGGAGGGTTGTTCAGGAAATACAATAATGGAATTGATTCAAAACATCATCATAACAGCTGTGTCCTCCAGTGATGATTTCTTCAAGCAGGAAGACTCAAAGCAGCCTCAACTGGAAGGTGCATCTTCTGAACTGGTAATTGAAGAAACAGTATCCCCCGCAATCAATACTTCAGATGTGTTACATCCAGTATTTCTCCCTTCCGAAGAAAAAGAAATTATCCTGGAAAAAGAATCTTTTCATCACCCAGGTAACAATATGAATACTACCATTAAAGGGCCAACTTTTTCTTTAAATTAGCTGCATTTGTTTTTTCGTCCAAATTTCTAAACAAAATATTTTACTCTACCGCACAAGGTGTAAATTGTAAACAAGAACTGTGTTTTGCTTCCCCACCCCCCACTCACTTATTTTAGAGTTGATTTAGATAGCAGCTTACGGATTTAAATAATGACGCTCCAGAAAGACATTATGTGAAAAGATATTTATATAGTTACTTTGCAAAGCCGTTATGTCTTAAGATATACTAGAGATAAGAAGTCAGTTTCCAAACAGAATTACTCTCACAGAATCTATATTCTTTATTTCTCCGTAAATTCACCTGTAATTTGCAAACGTCTTAGAACAGGTTTGCAGTTCTAATTTATAAGGAGCAGCAAGGTTCATTCCAGGTAACAAGACTCTTCCTTTGATATCTGACATGGAGAGTCACAGGGTAGATGAACCAGTGGTTTGATGTAATAAAAGGTTTCAGGTGTAAGAATAGAAATTTATAGACTTTTTACTGTCTGAACAAACTTAGAGGTCTCTGCTGCATCTGTCTGGCAGAGCAATGACTCATGCCCATTTACAATGATTTGTTACTGCATACTGCATATAATTTTATTAAAGTAAAATTGTGGATTTCAGGTGATTTGAACCTCCTGAAATTACTGGATGCCTAAATTTGATTCATAGAAAAAGCAAAACATTTGGCTTAGTTCTGTTTCCATATAACCTGGGGAATTATACTTCATGCGGTTACTTACTTTAATACTGGCAGGAAATTTGTGAACTATGCTGAACCCAAGACACCTAATAACTTGTTGATATTAGAGATCTAACATGCTAGGACACTTTTGTATATGCTCCTTTTAAACTGAGTCAGAAAGCCTAAATGCATATTTGTTTGTCAAAGCAACCTCAAATCTTTGGATCTGAGATACCATCAACTGAATACACAAATAGTTAAAATTTATTCCTGCCTTATTTACCATAACTGAAACAGTTACATTCTTCAATGGAAGTATTGAACATGAAGAAGAACATCAACATCAGCCATCAGCTGTTGATACAGTTGCACAAAGGAGTCAAAGTTCTGTTGCAAACAGGACAATCCTACAAGTCCTACATGATGTCCTACAAGTACTTGTAACTCCAAGGGACAGCTATTATGAAAATGCATCTTCTCAGTCAGGTATTGGCAATATGACTGTTGAATATAAAATTTACTGTGTATATTATTTCTAACAGTGTGGCTATTAACAGCACCCATGGTTCTACTGTTGTAGGTGGATATCTTCTAAAATGTGCTCCGTGAAAGGAACTACTATAGTACAAATGGAAATTTGAAATTTTCTTTATTTTGGTTCTGGCAGTTAGAGAAAGTGGGCCATGTTTAACCTATTTACTAAAATTGAGTTCCTTTTGGAAATTATCTGTGACAATTGATGTTCATTCTTCTGGATAAGTTATTTCCTTTTTTAATAATACTGATCTGCTTCCCAGAAATTTTTATACAGTAGGTAGAGCTAGGTGAAATTGACAGAAGAGAATTAAGAAGAAAATAGTGCGAATATAGTCTTAACATAGATTCAAGTATTGTTATAGAAGCTGATGATCTACAAAAATTTCTCATGACCTGTTGAGGCTGCATTAGGTGGTCAACGCTTGCCTGAATAGATGGATACTTTGCCTACATTTTAAATGCATAACTGGAAATCACCTGAAACAGCTTCCCAGATGAAAATAGAAATACTTTCAGTTTTGTTATTGTTGTTATTGAAAGTTCATTATTTTTTGCCAAGTACTTGTATAAGTATACTTTGTTTAATGACCACAAGGGGACTAGCAACTCAGTCACTAAGCAGTGCAGTTATATGGGTCACCTGTGGTTAAGTGAGACATCGCAAGATTGAATTGTGTCTTTACTTCTGGCTTCTCTGTTGACTGTGCTTGTTAGAAGCTGGCTGTGAAGTGCTCAAATGGCAATCATGCAATTGTGGAACAAATGATTTTGTTCAATGCCTGCCAGTTATGATTGTTAATGCCTGCCAGTTATTAAATGCCCAAATAGCAATCCCATGATTGTAGGTATGAATACAGATCAAAAAGTTAGTTTTTCAACATTGTCATAATTTCAAACAATCATTAAATAGAGCAGATATTAATTGAGGACCACCTGTACAATATAATATTCCTCTTTTTAATTTTAGCAGAAAAGGGACTTATTCCACAGCAGTATTTGTTCTTTCTTTGTAAAAGAAAATGCACTTATTTTTCACTATTTTTTCTAGCTGAATTAGGTCCTGTAGATATAGATCTAATAGACCCCATTGGTTGAGAGCTGGAAATGATTAAATAGCGACAACAATGCTTCACACTGAGAGCCAGTTTAATCTTGTGATTAAGGTTTCAGACTAGAAAGCAGGAAACTCTGACTTCTAGTCCCATATTAATCCCAAAGGCAGAAGGGTAACCTTGGGCCAGTCACTTTTTCTTAGCCCTAGGAAGCAGGCTTTGGCAAAACACTTCTGAAAAACCTTGTCAAGAAAAGTACAGAGGCTTGTTCAATCAGTTTCAGGAATCAGACATGATCGAATGGAAGGAAGAAAAAAACTTATTTCATATGTCATGTAAACATTTTTACTCCACTAAAACAGTTTTAAGATATTCTTGGTTTTCTTTTTCTATTTATAACTATGTAAATGAGAAACTGGAAAAGTAGCTCCGAAAAGTATTTAAAACTGACCCAGCCATTTTTGTAACAGCAGTAGTTTCCAGTGTTAGCACTGACTCTGAAGTTCCGACTCGTGATTCATTATTACACTTAAAGAATAGTGAAGAAAGATATCACACAAACACATCTAGAGAGCAATTGCTGCCTGGAATTCTTCATCCAACTGCAAGTAAGCATGAAAATAATATTTCACATTTAGGTATTAGCAATGTTTTTTTAAAATTTTGTATTCTATTATTTTTCTGGTTGAATTGTGTTATAGCTTTAAATAGAATATGAAGCCATTAACTATTGTTCCAAATGAATTGTAAATTGTTATTAATAAAATTTGATCATATGTGATTAATACGTAATGCGACAATAAATCTTAGCTGTATAGGGATACGTTTTGTTTCATTCATAAAGATTGTATTTGTACATTAGTATAGAATATAATATTGTATTGACTTGAGATAAATTCATAAATAAAATTTAGAAAAAAAATCACAGAATTGATTTTCTCTCTGGGGAATTTCTCCAAAGAAATTTTAGTTGATATTAGGTGAAGAAATTTTTATTCATTTTCATATTTCTGAACTAGAAAAGAGATTACTTAATCTATTGTTGTAAATAATAAGTAATATGCAATCAAGGGAATTATATTTAAATTTGTATTAGAATATGGTTCAACAAATGTGGCATATGCAAACAAAACTTTTGAAATCAATTATTGCAGCAACTGTAGTCTCCAAGGAGAAAGGCAAAGGCAACGAAACCACACAAAATCCATTTTATGACATCTATCCAGGACTGGACAATAAAAACGATCTCACTGAGAACAAAACTAGGGATGATGTTCAATCTGAAATTATTCAGATTGAGAGAAAGCCTGAATTGGAAACAACTCAGACAGGTATTTCTCAGAAGATATAATTTTAACCAGCTTATTCTGCCATGTTTGTGGTCTTTTTCAAAAAAGAAAAAAAGAAAAATATATGATATTTCAAGATATAATCTGTATAAAAGTACAGCCAGAAAATACATTTAAAATTATGTTGAATAGATAATTAAACTGATGGCTTAGCATCAGTTCCTCAGGGTTTACAAGAAGACAATTTACGAACCAGTTTATGGAAGAATATTAATTCACTTCATTTGTTTAGGTGTTGAAAATAGTCACTTGAAAATGAATACTATTAATGTTTCACTAGCAATGTTCTATTATCATAATCCAAAATTAGGGAAATATTAATACTTTGAAATTAAAATATGTCTGCTCAATGAAAAATACCTACATTTGTCAAACCAGTACAGCGATTTGCAGGTCAGAAAGATAGAAGCCATGCATTGTATATATGTTTTAGAAATTTATTTAGTGAAAGTCACTCCTATTTTATTTCAAATCAATCCATCCATATTATAATAGCTATGATTTCCACTGAACCTGATGATTATAAGGATTCTACCCAAGATCCATTGATTAAGGAAGATCCTGATTTGAAAGAAAAACTTCACCCTACAAATTCATCAATAAATGATTTCATACCTGGAATTAATAATCTCCCAGACAATGTGCAAGAGAACAAAACATCACATACAGGTACTAGGGGGAAACAAGAATTAATCTTATCTTTATTGCCATTCTAGATCATTTACTGTAATAGCCTAAATTAATTCTGCTGAAACCTTCAGGACATGGAAGATACTTATTCAGTGGGTGGAAAGAAGTAGTTCCAAGTGGCATCAAATTTAGACAAAACTCTATTATTGAAACAGCTATAGTCTTTAATAATTGCTACATGAACCATTTATACATGTTAAATAGGCACGAAGTTTTGTAAATAGTCTACATGGTGTTGCGTACAAAGTTCACATCTTTCGTATGATAGAGTTTAAATAGAAAGGGAATCTACAGGTCTGCTAGATATCAAATTAGTAGACTACCATTTTGTAGTTCTGTTTCCCCTGTAACCTTGCTTTAGTCAAGGATTAAATTCATATTGCTGAATTTTTACAGTAGTTATCTAGTTAAATATTAATACAACGCCAAAAAAGTACCGACTACTGAAAAAAATGTAGGAAGTGATTGTGCAGCTGTTCCACGATATTTAAAAATTATCCAACCATCATTAGAATAATTGTGAGAATTAATGAGAATACCAGACATGAAGATACTACTCATCAAGTAATACGTAATGTATATGATGAATTGAATAAAGAACATAAAAATCTCACAACATCACAAAAGGCAAAGGAATGCTGGATGTTATTCCATCAACTGGACAAAGTAGTGCAGCAAAAACCTTTCATATAGGTAGTATTGGTTAATATGCTTCCAATTACAGTGGTCCTTGGGGATATATTACATTGAGTGAATCATAAGATTATTTTTAGTCAATGAATATAATTGACCAGATGGCAAACATGCTCAAAAGCTCATTTTTAAAAAATACAGAAAATATGAAGTAGAAATTTTGAGCAATAATTATTTGGATGGGAATTTATTTGGACAATACACAGATTAAAATTTTAAATATCCAAATCTAAGTTCATCATTGGTTCATCAAACAGTTGCCATACTCAAGGATCTTGAAGATTCAGCTCAATCACCATTGCCTCCTATTTACCAGCCAGACTGGATCAGTGAAGAAAAACCTACTAATACTTCCAGTAATGACATGGAAATCAGTAAATATCATGAAAATGAACGTGACTCTTATGAAGGTATTGCTGTGAATAATATTGTTCTTTCATAGTGATGGATGGATGAAGCATGGTTTCATAGTACCTACAGTGCGTGTGTGTGTGTGTGTGTGCGTGTGTGTGTATGTTAAGTTTTCGCGGGTACTTACATGTATGGTATTCAGCTTTGTTCGGGTATTTTCCCACGTCATAGTTGTACTTTTAAAGTTGTAGCAACGTTTTGGCAGAAAATCATCTGCCATCATCAGGCTTCTGTATTGAGTTCGGCTGTATTGAGTTCGACGAACACATTCTGAATCTTAGTGTTATAATCTACTTTTTGATATATTTATTATCTTATTCAGTATATGGTGATCTGCATTTTTTCTAATTCTCCAAAGGCATCCAGTGATTATTTCTGGGATAACAAATTGATTGGAAACTTGCAGTGAGTGTGTGTGTAAAATTATGATTAGATTTAGGATATAATGTTACCAAAGCAAGAATGCATATAGTGATGGGGAAGAGAGGGAAATCCCTTTTAAAAGCCCAAGTTTAAGCGGCAACCATTGTCTTTACTTGTGAATTATTGTGCTGTCTGTGCATAACAATAGATATCATGGAAAATCTGCATACCAATTTTACTACCGGTAACCACTAATAATCTTTGGTGGACACAGGAAAGAAAACAGAAGCACCCAACAAGAGTTAATTAGGATGGGACTTGCTGTTAGAATTATAGTGTGCTTTTTTGTATGCTTGAATTATAACCAATATTATATTGTTCTGCGGGGGGGGGGGGGGAAATTGGACCTGTGCTGCCAAGGGAATGAAAATGCAGCTAATAGTTTCATTCTCCATTACTTTATCACTGCCATAGATATGGGCTTTTATGGGACCAAAGAAGATCCAACCTCAGAACCAGTGAGGCAATGGGTTAGTGAAGACAAGTATACTACAAAACCCACAATGGATGTGTTATATCCCGGAATTGTTCCTCGAAGAGGAATAAATCAAAAAAATAAAACTGATCATACAGGTATCCACTAGAATGGTGGTGGGATCTTTTTTACCTTTCTATTAGGTGAGATATTCTTCTGTTTTTAATTTCGTGTCTATTTTAGGCATGTAAAAAATGTGCCTAAGAACACTTTATGAGTGAGGTATGTCACTTTCCATTGGATAGAATGAGAGCCTGGAAAGGAAATTTTTACTTTGTCCCAGGTTCACTCATAGTCTATATGGTTCGATTTATTTCTATCTATTATTCATCCAGCAATCTTTGTTTTATCTATTTCTAATGCTCAAATACATAAATAAAGCCAGATTCTTATATCCTCTTTCGATTTGTAAATTTCAGCCTACTGTATCATTAATGTTTTACAGGTTACTGGTGAAAATAATCGGTTGACAGGTCCTTGGTGCTCTCTGGTGCTCTGCTAGTACTACCTGGTTTGGGTAATGAAATATCTGCAAGAAAGCAATCAAGCTCAGAGAGCATCAAGGAGCCCACATTTCAACCCTGAGCTACAAATATTCTTTATTGGTAATTAATTGGTTGCATGATGATGATGATGATAAGAAAAATAACTATGGAATCAACATCTGAAACTAGTGAACTAATGGCTCTTTTTGACTGTAATTAGGATTTGAAATTACTAACAAAAAATCTTGAATAATATAGATGTTTATATAATTTATTGTTTCACTGAAATTGTTTTCTTGGATATGTGTGGAAGAATAGTGGGTGAATAAATATGTTCATACCAGAATGCATGTGACTGCTATGAATGTAGTAGCCACGGTCATTCTGATGGCTTTTGGCCAATAAGATCATAAGAATCACATGTCTCCGAGGCATTCAAAGTTCAGTGCCCATTCTGGATTAAAATAATTTTACATTTGGCATCATGAGGAAATGAGCTACATTTTTGTGATGTACACATTTTGAAAAGCATGTATTTTATGTACTTAAAACTAGTTTTTAAAATGATTTAGGTTATTTTTATGCAGTATTGTATAGATCTGCATTTAATATTGGAATCTATAAATTTCATTTTCTAAGCCATTTATTTGCCATGTAGGTCTGTTTATATTTACAAATTTATTTTTGTTTCAATTCTTTCTGTCTAGTGATATCTTTAAATGTTTTTTAAGTTAGCATGACTAGCAGATTTCATGTACAAGAGAATATTTGTTGACAATGTAATAATAAGATGTCAATAATTGCGTGTTTATAATTGGGTTGCTTCCTGCTATCATTACAGGTTTTTTAAAAGGGTATTTAGTTAATTAGAGAATGTACAACAACTAGTAGTGCTGATACATGGATTATCTATCTGTGGAGATAAAATGTTGAATGAAATATTGTGTTTACCTTTTTTTAAATGTACTGCAATAGCTGTCAGCATCACTTACTATATAGTCTGGTGTTGTTATATTTATTACAAGTAAAAATATATGAACTTTCTTAATATATTTTCATGTCTGTGCATGCATAAAAGTAACTTTGCTTATTAGTGTAAGGTAAGAGATGGACTTCATGCTGACAGTTATTGGAAGCATTTCTTTTTTTTTTTTCCCCTTGTCCCTCATCTGCTTCTTAATCTATCACCACAGGTAGACCTTGATTTATAGCCATTTGTTTAGTGACCTACAAAGTGATAACGGCACTGAAAAAAGGGACTTGTGACCGTTTTCACACTTATGACCATTGCAGCATGGTTATGGTTATGTGAACAAAATTCAGGTGCTTTGCAGATGGTTCATATTTATGACCCTCGCAGTGTCCAGGAGTCAGCTTCTGACAAGCAAAGTCAATGGGGAAACCAAATTTACTTAACAACTGTGTTACTAATTTAAAACTGAAATGATTCACTTAACAGTGGCAAAAAAGGTCATAAAATGGGCAAAACTCACTGAACAAATATTTTCACTTAGCAACATAAATTTTGGGCTCAATTCTGGTTGTAGATTAAGGACTATCTGTACTGCACATATTGCAACAGGCCATAATATTTGACAATAAGAAAGAGAATATCTTTTACCTTTCATTTTCATTTTTCCACTTTTTAAACTTAAAGTAAGAATTTGCTGGGAAAAGTTTTGATCCTGCATATATCCTGCTCATAATTGATTTAGCTCTTGTTACCCCAATTGTGGCCTCCATCAGATCTTGGTCCAAAGTGGCATCCTACATGGACCAGTGATGATGAAAATGTTATAAATCCCTATTAGGGATTTTTGACAAACAATTACCAAAAAAAATGAAGTATATAATAATATATATCTTAACAGCGGCCAGGCTAGCGTTCGCTCAGTGCTGGAAACTATCTTACATACCTACAGAACAGATGATCATCCAGAAAATTTCAGATTGTGCAGAAGTGGACAAACTAATCCTAGCCCTAAAAAACAAAGAGTCTTCAATATATTACAATAACTGGAATCCCTGGTACAAGTGGTTAGACCAAAGATAGATTGTGTATTATAAGGTATAAAAAAAAGAATGAGATAAACCTATTTGAGTGCAATCCAAATATAGATACGGATAAGATGTGTGTATATGATACAATTTAAGAAGAAAAGATCTTACAAACTGTTGAAAAGGAAAATGTTTTTAAATGTTCACCCTCCCTTCTATCTTTTTCTTTCTTTTTCCTTTTCGCGTTTCTTTCTCTCTTTCTTGCTTTTTTCTGGTTTTGTTATTTGTGTATATGTTGTAGATTTGTTTTTTTTTATTGTAAAATTAATAAAATTTGTTTTTTTTTTAAAAAGAAAATGTTATAAATAACAGTCAAGATCCTATCCACCTTCCACAGACAGTAAAACCTATAGTATATGTTCCTATAACTTTAATATTTAGTTCCGGTCTCATAATTTATGAATTTGGATGACCTATCAGTAAAAATAAAAAAAGATTAATATTTATGAGGAAAGCAATGCAGAACTCTTGATTTTCAAGGGAAATCTTACTACAAACCTGTCTATGGTTTATAACTTCATATAAAGATATATATGGTTGGAATATTGCCCACTAGGAGGTGTGTGATTCTCTGTGAAATTTTGTGGCTAGAGCGATAATTTTTCTATTGCTTCTCACTGTGGAGTATTCTTTTCTGATTTCTAAAGAATAAGTAATTACTGTTGTATCACTTTGGACATAATGATATGCATGACACTAATTTCTAATGTATTGCAATTGACTACTTTTTCTAAATCTGATTATAATTGATTTTGGCTGAAACCAGGGAATTTTCAGATTTTCATTTAAAATAATAAAATACTGTAATTTGCAGGTTTTGATAGTCTTGCACGAGAACACCAAAATCTCATAAAATTTTGCTATTGCTCCTTGAGCTTTGAGAAGAAATTGCATGATATTTCATACATTTGATTTTGGGAAATGGGACATTAAGGGTTAGAATTTTTAGTCTAAAAGCTGTAGGAGAGAATAATTTGAAAAAACAGATTGTTTAAATATATTTTCTACCTTAATTAGAACTTTAAGTGAACTGTCTGTTATTGTTTACCAATCTTTAGATTATGCCATGTTAATAAATGAAATCAGATGAAATCAAATAGGCCGGTCTTTATATCAGCAAGAGAGATTGCAAATTGATAGCAGCATCTACATCTGATACTTCTCTGAGTAGCATCTGAGACTTGTTCTGCTCTTGGCTAAAGAGGAATTGGGGCTTTCCAGATATTCCAGTTTAACACTTTAAAAAACCTTATGGGCTTTTCTGGGCTTTTCATAAATATTTCAGATAAATCCTGTAGTATTTGCTCTACTATTTATTCTAGAACAAGTAGCAGTAATTTCTCCTGTAGAATGATTTTTCTATCAGAAATTTTGATTAAAGTACTGTGCCTCCTAGTAAAATTCCACAGCAAATCAACACTAAAACACTCCTTTTCCATCATGTGCCTGTCACAGATGTCAGTGCAAGGAAGTGTTAGATCCCTTCAGTGCAAAGGAGGCTTTTTTGAGATATCCATTGTGACCGAGACATAAAAGGAGTCTGATCTGGTTCGAATCCTGAATGTTTATAATAGTATAAACATTAAAAGGCGCTACTTGTATATCTCATTTTGTTCTTTCCATTAGCACAGTATAGTATATAGTATGTACCACTATATTATATAGTATAATATATAACATATCTAAAAATTTATATAATAATTTAAATTTGGTAGACTTCTAGCAACAGAATGTCAGCTTTAGAATTCTTAGTCTAAAAGCTGTAGGAGAGAATAATTTGAAAAAAAACTAATTGTTTAAATATGTAGAAATAAACAGAATTATAGGCCTGTTTTTCAGAATGTAGCTATTGTGAACTAGGTGAATTTGTAATCATGAATTCTAGAGCAAACACTACTGTTTTCCTAATCTGATGTAGACTTTATTTTGCTGGATAAATTCTTTCCAAATTCACGAATCAGTTTAAGTATGTTGTTTCTAACCTTTCTACTCAGTGCCCCGTGTATTCTCTGTGGATTCATTTTGATTTACTCATCATCTGGTAACCATTAGGAATTATTTGAATTAGGTATATTGCAACATATGCTCACTGTCACAGTTACGATGTATTGAACTCTTAAATTCAAATGCTAATACTTTGTTTTTTATCCTTGGTATTCATTTAAATCACCAATTTTTATTGTTTCTAATACAAACCAGTGGGACTTATTGGAAAAGTGAGAGCAACCATAGTTGTATAATATTAGAAATATCAATTTTTGAAAGAAGTGTCTTTTACTTATTTGCACCTGGAATTTAGCTATGCTTTCCAATTCAAATCAATCTGGATATTTCTGCCTACAAAAGACCTGCTGAAGTAAACTGAAGCAGTAGTATGCTTTATTAAATTTCCCTGGCATAGTACAGCTCTCTCACATCTTCTGAAAAAAAAGCAACCTTTTAGTGGTGTGTGTGTGTGAGAGAGAGAGAGAAATAAAGATTCCTATCTCCATAAGTGGTGATAGCTCATAACTTATGGTGATTAAAGCTTTGTTATGAATGAAACACATCAGTCTACAGAGGCTGGTTAAATAATAGCATGTTATTTTTCCTCTGAAGATACAAAAGCAGAAATTCCAGATGTTGATAATGCAGAGTGTAATGCATGCCTTTTCTTTAGGTCCTGATCCAAACAAACACGGTGTAGTGAGAGACAAAAATGTGACACCTTTGCCGGAAGAGTCAGGAAACAATCAACCCCGAATGGCTCATATACCAGGTTTGTTTCTGTGCTTTTATTATTGGTATTTATCATGCAGTCATACTGTGATGTTCCCGTATTTTTCTGTTGTCATCTTTTGTGTCTAAAACATGCAAATGGCACCATTAGATAAATACCTTCCAACAATGTCATGTTTTTGCACATTTTTCATTTCTCTCCACCTCCACAGGCCCTTGTCTTAGGATATATTGGAATTAAAGGTTCTCTAACACTAAGACCAGTGGCTTAAATCAGGAAAAGTACTGTCAACAGAAGAAAAAAAAAATTGAATTATGTATATATTCAATAGTGTACAAACAAAGGGAAAGTTCTATTGAACTTCATTACTTTGGATTACTTTTGGATTATAGAATGCCAATTATAGAATGTCACAATTTTACTGGCATGTACGAATACAGTATAATTTGGTAGTGTGGCATGGAATCAGTGACAGCTGTAATCCAGTATATTTCCATGGCTAAGAAGTGAGATCTTATGATTCAACCATATAATTGCTTTATTTCTTATATAATTTTTATCTGTGATATATACACTTACCCAATAAGTGTTATCCTATTTATCATAGAAAATGAATAGCAATTTCAAAACTGCTTAACATAGCAATATTGATGCTAATCGTAATATTCAAAACTGCTTTAATTGAAGAATCATACCTTAATTTAGAATCTCAGATCTCTAATTTGTAAACCATGTAATTTGACTTCTGGCTTTGAGCCAGATTAAAATACATTCTTTAGTTAATGTTTAGAATAATGTCTTTCTTATGGTGTGTTGTTCCCTCATCCCACCCATGACATTTGACTATTGGAAAATCTTACTAAAGTAGTATACAGAAACATGAGATTTTTATTTTTTTAACCAGAATCACATTTTGTTCCACTCTCACAACTGTGGAAGTAACATCAGCTGTCATTGTCTTCTACCACACATAGGATAATACAATAATGGATACAAATTATCACCACAACTATCATTGCTTATATACAATTGTTGTTAAGGGTAGCTGGAACATAACTTTCACTTATGTAAAAACAAGATCATAAAGAATATTTCAATTCTCTGATCAACTGACAAAGGAATGTTTTTTTTCTATCTGTAGATTGGCTTATTGTAGTTGCTTCTCTTTTGGCCCTGGCATTGATTCTTGGTGTTTGCATTGCTGTAAACAGTCGAAGGAGGTAAGAAATGTTGTTGTAGTTTTCCATTTCTCAGTGCCAAGTCTTTTGCTGAAATATTTTTAGGACTGACAATTTTACAGCATTCAAAGGAGACAGCGTTACAGAGAATTTAATCAACAAGCACATTTGGAAGCCATAGACCACTGTTTTTAAACATATAAGACACCCTAGCTTACTACTTTATCTCCTAGTTCAGTGTTCATTTTAAGATATGTCCTTTTCCGTGCCAATTCAAAAGTGGATTTTTCAGCCTCTCCTTTTGTCATAGAATTTTTCTTCTTTTGAGTCAGAACAAAGAGCTATCTTGAAGCAAGTTGCTGGATTTACCCCAGATTATTTTCTGAATAGTATTTGAAAATTAACACTTCTCTATAGTATGTATTAGTAATTAGTACTGATGTAATTAGATAACTGGATGCTATTGCTCATATAAATTATTTGCCTACATATTAATTAAAGACTAACTTTGTAACTAGGTAAGAGCCAGCATTTCCTGCTTGTTCAGCTTTTTTTGTAACATAATTTCTTATTTTGAATAAGAGTGTTGTTCTTCACTAATTTATGTTAAATCTTGATCTTTGGATGCTATTATTGTACTAAAGCACACTTGGTTAATTTTTAAAAATATTTCTGAAGCTGACCAATGATAATCAAACGCAGATAGCATCTCCTGAAAATGTGCAAAATTATAAAAGAATAGTGTTTCCCAGTTGAAGAATTAGCTTTTCTTAGTATTAAATGTCACTTACTAAATAAGTTCTCACAGTTTTAAACCATAGTACAGATATAACTTGGAATATTTTGTAACTTATTGGTGAGCTTGGGCAATCTTTATTTCAGCAACACAATTTAAAAATAAAATGCAGAGCTGTTCATGTTTTCAGAAACCCTACAAGATTAATTCAGATAAAGAATATGCAGTGAAAACCATACCTCCCCCTTTTCTATAGATGTTTTCTCCTTTCACAGTTCTGTCTTCTGTGATGAGCATTATTTTAGAAGAGAACAGAGTGATCAGGATTCTATAAACTTTGCTAGAAGTCATAAAGAAACTTCTAGCTCCTTCATTGTTATACTTCACTCAGTTTGAAACATTTATTCAAGTCATCTTCCAGTGATTGAATAACAGCTCATTCAGGGAAATAGCGCCAAGCTATAAGGAAAACTAGGAAGAGCAGTGTAGGTGTAACTCTCTTAACATCAAGCGAATAGAGAGACAGACTGCTTATTTGTTTAGACAGAAATTCAAAAAGAAAGAACACATAAAACTTAGGTAACATATTTGACACTTCAAGTTGTAAGAGACATAAAGAGATGAAACAAGAATACCTTGAAACCACAAAAGAAGCACAAAGATGTTTCATTTTATGAAAAAAAAAACTGGAAAAGCACATGTCATGAGAGGTAATTAAAAACAGCCTTAAGTTGAGCAGAAATGAGAAATGCAGTGCATTTAATGTGGTTGCTCTCAACTATTCTCTAAAGAGAAATTCAGATGCGTTCTGAATTTTAATTGTGAAATATATCCAGGAAATTTTCAATTAAGAATTCTAACGTATTTTAGTAGCAATTTTAATTTGTAATTTGCCCATTCCTTCCAGGCCCATGTGGATGAATGAAAAAATGAAAAGGCATTTCCTTTTTTGAGCATTGGTATATGAACTGTGTCATTCTTTGAACTAAATGACAATAAATAAATGACATTAAAAACAACTTAATTTTAAATGTAGGCATTGATTCCTAGCTTTGGCCTTTCCTTTCCTTTCCTTATCTTTCCTTCCATTCCCTTCCTCAGATGATCCCTTACTTCAATCTATGTGCAACTCAAGATCCATAGACATAGCTTTACCCTTAAGCCATCCAATCGAAGATTATCGGCTCAACTGAGTCAAAGAAGCTACCATACTAACCAAAAGAACCACTGTAGCCATTATTCCAGGAAACATCTTTATCTGCCTTTTATCACCTTCTGAAGAATCCAAAGATATGTCCCATTCAGAATAAGAAATTTGTTAGAAGGTTATTTTGATAGGTTATGCTTCATTCCAATTATGTCAACATAGCAGAACCAGAAAAATCTGAAAAATAAAGATTAATCTGCCATAATTAAAGTTCTTACCTAAGAAATAAGCAAGAAATGGATGATTTTAATGTATACTGCTCCAGACAAAATGAAGGCAGTATATAACATGTTCTCTTTAAATATTTTGACTTTACAATCTTTCCCTTTTCTGTTAGATGTGGGCAGAAGAAGAAGCTTGTGATTAACAATGGCAAAGGAGGCATAGATGAGAAGAAGAAAGATGGATTAAATGGAGAAGCCAGCAAATCTCAGGAAATGGTGCATTTGGTACAAAAAGAGAAATCAGAAGACCAAAAGGGCCCACATGATGAATTCCAGGCAATTGATGAAACACAGAACCAACAGCCCTTGAAGAGTGACATGTAGGAAGGCTGGCCAATCAAATTGAATCAGAGTTGTGGGAAACAAAAAGCATCATACTGAACTGGGACTAAAACTCAGAAATGCAATGAGCTACTGATCTCTTTAAAGCATAATTAAGCATACATTTTCTTGGTTTTTTTTTCTTTTGTAATGGTCAGCTACAAAAATAATATGTCATTTTTGGTTTTGCCCAACATTGCATCACTTTGCCCAGTTTTAATTAGTGATCATCATCTTACTGCTAGCATTTGTTCCCTAGTTGCAGTCTGTTTGTTAAGGCAAAACACCAAAATTTATTTTGCCTGACCTACAGAATTTTTGGACTTTCCAGAATCTGCAGCCATTAAAGCATTATAGTAAAATGTATTCCCACGGAATTCACATTGATAGGCTATCTTGAGGTTTGACACATAGATTTTGGAATTCAATTTTTATTGGTCAGTTACAAAATTGTCAGATTTATTAAATCTCATTAATGTTTTAATATTTTGGAATTACATGTTGTAATAGTTAAATATGAAAAGCATGTTTTTACACATTCCACAGATCTTCACCATGTTAAAATCACACTCACTAAAAAGGGTGGAAAAACCAAATCCAAAGCCCAAACCCAAAACTGATTTATAGCAAATAAATTTTTATTCTCTATAATCTAAATAATGTGGTGATGTTATCTTTAAATTTCAGTGTTCACGTTCCTTGTCAGCCTCCTGTACTTCTGTTGTATTGTATTCCATTTATTAGGGATCCCATTCATTATCCTATGGGCTGTGAACTGACCCTAAAATATTTGGATGGAACCAAACCAAGACACATACCTTCCTCCTTGTCCCACTGTCTCTGAGTTTTTCTTTTCCCTTGAAATGCCCATTTCCTATTTGAATCTGCTTCGATAGGTCTAGTCTAATGTGAATGAGAGAGTTAAAGGATTCTTAAGAATATAACAAGAACCTCTTATCCTACACAGTTCCTGTTCTAGCAGAGTATGTTTATGTGAAATCTTTTCTATGCAGTTATGACTTACAATGAAAAAAACACATGAAACATATTTGAAATAAATAATTTCAGAAGTTCTATTCTCTTGAAAACATGCCACTGTCTGAAATCTAGCCAGGATCATCTACACACAGAACAAGTGCCTTTAGTAGAATGTACTGTATGTGCCTCCCAATTTTTGAGAAATATGATATGGAAGATTGGAGAAAATTTTGGAGAATATTTGGGTTGTGTGTGCATTACTGAGTGTTTTCAGACATATGCTTTTTAGTAAGTTAAATATAGAAAGTATAGACTAACTACCTTATTTTGGAATCCACTGTGATAAAATTGGCTGATTAGATATAAAAAACAATTGTTTGAACTTTTATTGGATTGTTTTTTAGTCTCAAAGAATGCATGGAGTAGAACTGTCAGCCCATATGTGCTTAAGTTAAGGAAACAATTTATTGTCAGCTACCACACATTCCATTTAAGTTACAATATAATAACTGATGCCATATATTTCTTTGCCAAAGATGTTGAATAAAGCTTTGAACCCTACTTTACCCAGTTTACATGGAAAACTAAATTTTCCTTTTAATCAGAAATGCTACTTCCTAGCACCATATTCTTCTGTGGGCTTTTGATATTTGATATTCTCTGGGAGTTTGATATTTTGACCAGTTTCTCTTCTAAATCACCTGACTAGATAACATCAGAACTTCATTTTATATTTCAGAAAGGGATTTGAAAAACTTGACCATATCCTTGATAAACTGGACCAATGTGAAATGGATCATCCCACTACAAAATAGATTTTGCAGCTGGGCGAACAACTAACACTTGGTCCTTAATGGGTCTACGTTCACATGGAAGGAAGCATGCAAACGGTAGCTCAGGGTTCTGCCTAGGACCCAGTTCTGTAATCCCCAACCACCAGTCTTTGGACCGGCACCAGTCCGTGGCATGCCAGAAACTGGTCCATGCAAACAAGTGAAGCCCCATCCGCAGGATGCAGGCAACATGCAAAACCACGCCCCCTCCAGTCCACAGAGAAGCCTCTTTCCGTGGAACTGGTCCCTGGTGCCCAAAAGGTTGGAGCCATTGCTCTACATGACTTTGATGAGGGACTAACAGGATTGCTCGTAAAATTTGCAGATGACACAAAGCTGGAAGACTTACGAATACCCCACATGACAGGTTCAAGCTTCAAAAGGTTTTGAATATTGACCCTATTCAAGATAATGTGATTCAATAATTAAAAATGTAAGGCTCTGCATTTGGTAGGAAAGAAAAACCCATGTACAAGTACAACTTGGGTACAGATAGACCTTGATTTCCAAGTCACTTCACTTCACTGAAAAAAAAAAAAAGGATGCTTGGCAGTTGGCTCATATTTAAGATGGCTGCAGTGTCCCGGAAGCATGTGATCACCTTTTAGGACCTTCCAACAAGGCAATGGGGAAGCCAGATTCACTTAATAAATATCTTACTAACTTAACCACTGCAGTGATTCACTTAACAGTGGGGGCAAGAAAGGTTTTAAATGGGGCAAAATTCACTTTTTCACAGCAACAGAAATTTTGGACTCAATTGCCATAAGTCCAGGACTACTTATACCTGGTGTAGCAGTAGTTACAGGAAGGGTATGGGTAGCTTGGTAGATCACAGATGACCAGCTGCCAAAACTAATTTTGGGATACATCAAAAGATGCATAATATTAGGATCACTGGAAGTGATATTACTTCCTTATGCTGCAATGGTTAGACTATAACTGGACTATTGTCCTGTTCAGTTTGCCACAGCATGAAAAGGACACTAAAGAACTGGAAACATGGGAGAGAAGAGCAATAAGGATGGGCAGGGGCTCAGCTCTATTATAGCCATTTGATTGACATGTAGATAAAATAAACATAAATGCTCCTTTTTTGTTTGAAAGTCATTATTTAAGAGTTAATTACTTAGTGTATTAATTTAGTTTTTCAAAATGACCAAGCGCAAGTCAAAGTGTTCAGGTGCATTTGGCCCAATGACTTATTTGGCGATTCCAAAGAAGACCCAATTCAACCCCGGTTGCACATATTTTTCCGTCACCAGACCCTTGGCCAGACTGGCAGTTTTGGAATAATTGGCTCAAAACAAGATACGTCTGAAGCCAGCTCAAAATTAATGGAACTGAATTTAGAGATTCGGGGATCCCTACACGTGGTGCAGTCGTACCAGCTCCTTGCAAAACACACGGCTGTGAGAAATCTGAGTACAGGGTTTTGAACCACTGTTCCTCAGAAGAAGACTAAAAGGGAGGGGAGTTTCCCTTTTATCAAGCACCTTTCATATCGAATGAAACTTCTATTCTCCAGGGAAGAACTTTTCTAGAAACAAATTGCATACTTGAGTAACAGTTCTCAAAACAACTGACATCTTTAATGCTTTTTTTCTTTTACTTAGTAATATGAACTCTTTAAAAAAAACTGCATGAGAGAAAGGACTAAAAGCAATGCCTATAAAATGCATTTTCCCCATCATAAACAGAAAGTATGTGGGGTTGCAATAGCCTCTTAACTTGGAGATAAAGCAGGTGAATTGAGGCTAAAATGAACAGTGGTGCTTTTGGCTGAAGACCTGTGAAATCTCTTTCTGGCTTTTAGACAGTAAATAATCAAATAATGTTTAATTCATAATTTTGACAGTGTCATGAGGAATGTGCTGCATTATACCAGAATAAAAAAGACTGCAAAATCCATTGATTTATCAATATTGTATTTACAATTTATTCTATTTTTGCCTGTAATGATAAAATTTATGCGTGCAAGTAGGAATGAATGGCTATCCAATCATCATATTTTGAGGATATGGATGTTTGATAAAATTTGAGCATGCCGAAAAAAAGCACTGCAAGATTATTTTTGGAAAAAAGTATATATTTTTAGCTTTAATTCCTAGTCTGTAAATGTTCTGCAGTTTAATAATATTTAAAACTGGAATTATCCAGGCTTTTTTAAAAAAAACCCTAATATATCTCTTAACTGGTTTGGAACGCTGCTCAGTTTTCTGATCAGTGCTTATAACAAATAACTGATAACTAACCAAAAAGTAGCTGCTTGCAGAGACTTTAAAAATGTATATTAAAGATGCCTATTGTCCCTCAGAACTCACTAGAAAAAAATAACTTATTTTATTCTTTACATGTTCTAGAAATTGTATAATGTAAATCCAGTATTTTTTGTATAAATGTTCAATGACGTTTTATTTGAGAATAGTGTTCAAAGCTTGGGAGGGCAGGGGTGGGGGAGCAGATAGGATAGTGTTTATATCTGTTGTTCCACAGAGTTCAAGAGAAAGTTTAAGCAGGCATGTTTTCCATGATTTCTTTTTTAAGCAAAGGGGTCAGGGACTACGCTAGGGAGAGAATGCAGCCTACGGGCCCCAAAAGTCAGCCTTCTAATTCCTTGTCCAAGCATGCAGCCTAAAAGTAACTGGATCCCACTCAAACCAAAAACATTTTAATGAAGCAAAAAGGGTGAATGTAATTCCTCCATTCAAACCAATCGAATCGAATCTCCAATATTTTATGTATTTCTCATGCACTGTGATTAAAAATAAAACATGTTTCCAGGAGTAAAACACACACACACACAAATAATTTAAAAAAATAAGCAATTGCTACTATGAACCATTTTCTTCAAGTGTAACTATTTTCCCACTTTTAGATGCTATGGCCAATGTTGGTCTAGCAAACAACAGGACAGGGATACATTTTTACTTTCATGGCAGCTTTTCTGCATTAAACACACACACACACACACACACATATTTTGGTAGTATAACTCAAATTATTTTATCAAAAAGAAGTTTCACTGTTTATAGAAGTGCATGGATGAACAGAAATCTGGAGAAGCTGCAAATCTAACAAATGTGAAAGTAGCTCTGTTGGTTTGATATGTCAATCATTGGCAAATCAGCATACATATAACAAACATTTGTTACTGGACTGTATTTCATATATCCTTCCATCACACATTCTCCCTAGAGCTTGCAAGTAAATAGATATACTCACATTGATTCTATCCATGAAAATTTTGAATTCACATTTATTGATGATATGTACATTTAAAAAATCCAACATTTAGTGAAATATTGTTTTTGCTGATTATTTCCAGTATATAAAGAATGTCCAGTTTTATATACAAGTTATAGAAATCAGTTTGCACAGGAAATGAAAAAAATTGCTAAAGGTATAGATAAAGGAGATAAGAACTATGAAAAGTGCTTAGTAAACAAGTCATTGCTACTGTAGTAAATAAAGTAATCAACATTAATAAAGATTTAGCATTTCCATGTATTAGATTTTACACAAAATGGCATAGATATTATACAATACACCATTTCATTTTTAGATGAATATTTTTAATTACAGTCAAAGCCAAGTTTGTGCTTTCTTTTGTATGTAGGGTGACCCACCAACAATGCAATCTAAGAGGTCATGTGCATAAGATCTAATAATTCCCCTTAGCTGAATATATCCACAGAGCTTAGAATTGAGTGGATCTCCCCTTTCTATGCATAATTATATGGTATCCATATATTCAAGGCCTACAAGAGCAAGATATATA